CAGTTTTCTGTTGTACAGTTTTGGCGTCTGTATTGTCATTGTAGTGTTTTTACCTGAAAGGAGTGGCACCCAGGTCTTCTTCTACTGTAGCCATCTGCTTCAAGCTTTGATGTGCTGTGCATTCAGAGATGCTCTTCTGCATGCCTTGGTTGAAAAGAGTCATTATTTGAGTTACTGTTGCCTTCGTATCAGCTGGAAGAAGTGTGGCCATTGTCCTCTGACCTCTGACATCAACAAGGAATTTTTGGCCATAGAACTGCTGCTAAGGTCTTATTTTGGCTTTTTCAGACCCTTTCTGTGCAAACCTCAGAGATGGATGTGTGGGGGAAAATCCCAGCAGAGAACAGTTTATGAAATACTCATACAGGCAACCGACAATCATGCCATGTTCAAAGCTAATTATATTACCTGTCCTCCCCATTCTGATGCTCGATTTTAACGTCAGCAGGTCGACTTGATCATGTCTACATGTCTGCTCATAAGATACTTGCGTTTATGAGCGGTTGAACAGGTGGACCTAAAAAAGTGGCCGGCGAGTTAACCCCCCACGCCATGTTTTCAAGCATGTCTCTCTTTTTCTTCTCCATCAGGTATTTAAGTTTGTATTTCTAACAGTTGAATGAATTCGTGTACTTCAGTTTTCAAGTGCTTCCTCTCAGATTGAGCTAACCTTACAGTTTATTTCATCTAATTTCATTATTCATTATTATCATTTTGTATAGTATCTGGTGAAATTATTCTGTAAATATAGCTAGCTGCTAGATAACTAATTGATAGCTTGTTAATTTAGCTAATTTCTCGGTTAGCATCAGCTAATTTAGTTTAGCAGGTAAACTTTAATTTTACCTGCGCCTTGTGAGGACCACTTGGACTCCTTTTATTACATTTTATTTTTTAATGTTGTTATTTATTTATTTATGTTAGACTTACCTTTTTGTAGGCTATGAAAGCAACTGGGGTCTTCACTGCCTCAGCAGTAAGTGGCACTTGGAAACTGCAGACTTCCATCAGCACACTACATGTTTGCCTGTAATCATTTTTAGCCTGCAGTTAGCTTCAGAAATAACATGTGGAAGCATCAAGTCAGTGATGAGGAACTTTGATAATTTAATTTTCGTGTTGTTACCAGGGAAAACACACCATAAACGCTATGTTGTATTCAGTTGTTATGTTTATAATTTGTAACCATTAAATCTTACATATAATTCTGCTTGGAATTAAGTTAAACAGATTTTAATCTGAAACAGTGTCTATCAGTTTCCTGTTATTACTGTGTGGTATTTTGCAAAGTTCACTTTCTAACCATGATTTGCGATCGTCACAGCAGGCTAACCCAAAAGCAGGCGGGCTGCTCGCTGGATAGATCACATTAGAACTTCACTGCTATAGCTCTGCAAAGCCATGCTAAAACTGGAGTAATACAATCAATCAATCAGTCATCTCCTGACTTCACAGCACAGGAGAGCTCTGCTGGAATGCTGCTAAGCTGCAGATGTACCAGCCAAATTACTCCAGAGGGGAATTACCAGGCCATAAATCCAGACGTCAGGAGGATGGTTGTAGCCTATTTCACGGTTTAAAAAAAAAAAATTCATGCAACTTGTTTTCACAACTCCATAAAAACGTCTGGCTGTGCAGAGCTCAAACTTATCTTGGCCAACAGATCTAAACATGTTTGCATCCAAACATGGCTTCAGATCACAGGGACTTTAAACATCCTCAGAATCTGCTGTCGTTCACCATGTCCTGACAGGCCCTTTAAAGTGAATGATCTGCAGCGTGACAAACAGTTAGAACAGCTAATAACCATCTCCCGCTCATTCATAATCTGCTATAAATCTGGGGCACGGTGCAGGTTTTACCGTCCTATAGATACAGGCTTAGTTATTACGTGTTGTAAAAGGCCCTTTCAGACTAAACATCTCCATCCTCAAGTGTTAAATATCCATCATCGTTACGTGTTTGTTAGCGAATCTAATTGGCTTTAGGAAAAACACATGATCCTTTCACCTATTTCAATTGTGCAGTTCTCATGTGAGTAGCAGGCAAACAACAGGCATACAGTCTAGTCAACACCACACAGTAACTACTGGCAACAGATTGTTGGCAGGTACCGGGCTTCATTATTGCTAATTAAGATGTATAAATATGCTGTCTGGCACTTTCCATCAAACTCAAAAAGTGCCAAGGTAGACAAGGTGAGGGCACGAGTACTGGTAGTGATGTTGCAGTGTGTACTCTGTGGGCACACTTCAGCTCAGCTGGCATACATCTGACTGATGCCTTCATGTGCCAGCAGCTAAACAAGCCCTGGTTTGAGGGGAGAGTGTTGCACATTTTAGGCTGAGCTAAGCAAAGTCTGCCAATGTCTTAGAGAGTCTGGCTTCATGGTGCCTCACACAGAGCACCTTGTTGAGACGCGTTGCCCGGTCTTCTTACAGATGATGGCAGTGGACGGTTTACAGGAGGAGGCATGGCCGGGAGGATGTGACATCACAGCACACCAGCGTGATAGTGAGTTCTAACCTGTTACTTTAATAAACCACAACACAGTCTGCTTATTGATTTGAGGCTTGCTTAGACATTTTAGAGATTTAACACTGGTTTGCCTGTCATCGCTTTCAATTTAGTTTGACATAATTATTTCTAAATTTCTATAAATTTCATTGCTATGTAAAGCAACACATTTTTAAGGTTTATCAACAGTCGTATTTTGGAATAGTTTCAGGATCTAGGTTAGAATGCTTTCCAGAATACCATGAATATTTGTTAGTTCACACATAGTGATTAATTGTGATAAAAACCAAAACAAAATCAGTATAAGATGGGACCTTCATGGCTTCTAATTAGCACCAGCTCTTGTAAATATAAGTACTTAAAGCTTTGACCAAAAAGGTGACCCATGTGATCATAAAGAGACAACTAGCAAAGTGTTAGGTTATGTAGGTAGTCTCTACTGGCACCAAAAAAACAAGATGGCGACAATCAAAAGGCTCAAATTGAGTCCATACGTGGCTGTTTGCCACATTTCTTTGTGCAGTGACATCAGTCTTTTATACATAAAGATGAAAATAGTTTATAACTTTAAAAAAAAGGGAGCAACACCTTGCTAAATCTTGCTCACAAACCTTCTTCCTGCTTGACCTCATGGGAAAAGAAAGAAAGCGTTTGGTTTTGGTCACAAGTGAGCCATTTGCCAACCCCTCTGCTCTCTTGGAAAGGAAAGAATCAGGTTTGCGGTACATTTTTGTTTGAGGAAATATAGTTCATAAGTAATGCCAGGAGCCACCAGGGAAGAGCAGGCATCAGAACTAAAAATAATTTAATTTGCATTCCCTGTGGTTCCTGGACTGGTCACCTGATTTTTCTACTGGTTCTTTTGTCTTTTGACTTCTTTTTTAAGATGTGCAGTATATGACTAATAGTGAACTTTTAAAGTCAGAACAAAAAGCATACCCTCTGGATTTAATTCTGTGTGGCTTCCCATTGTTAGTGCCAGTGACTCCTGGGGTTCTCCTTTTACACATATTTGCAAATGTGTTTTTGCAGACATCCAGGGAGCTTCCACTTGTGCGTGCAATGTAACCTCTCTTCATCCTACACATACCACACACGGCTCTGTGACATGTTCTCAAAGTTTGAGATGAATATTTTACATTATCCAGTGGGTGATAAGGTTTTTTCTAAACGAGTTAGGTGTATTATCCATGATCTTTTATTTATTTTTAACCAGATTCGAGCACTCCAAACCAAGTCATGTAGTTCTGCCCTAATAATTCAGATTTTGGCTTGCATTTTACTGAAACCTCTCTATACAACATGTTTGACAAGGACAGTTCTATAAATGAGGGTCACTGAAGAAAGCCTGTTATTCCTCCATGGTGACGAATTAGGAAAAAAAAAAAACAATTAACCAATTGACCAATTAATAACAATCCTCTAATCTACAAAAAGTGATCATCAGGAAAGATCTATTGATGTTTCTTTGCTGTGAAAAGAGAAGCTCCATGGGCGTTCTGCACCAAACGAGATTTAAAAGGTCTTAAATCTAATTAATCTGAGATAAATAATGGTTTATGTCGTTACAAAATTGCTCATAGAGAGGATTGCAATACCATAACATGCAAAGTAATAAGTTTTAATGAAAGGCGTTGAAATGTCTGTCTCCAGCCTCATTCTCTCTGTTGGGTCTTCACTCAGTAACTGCGAGCATTTACCTTGCACACTCATGTATACACACACAACCTCATTTTAGCATTTATTTTCAGTTAATATGTGCCTATTTACATGTGAGTTTAGTGGCTGATAAGATGATATTAATCCTTAAATATAAAAGGGTGTTACTTCTGAGGCTCATAAAAAAAATCTTTGGAAACTGATGAGCAAAAGTGTGTCCACTGATTCAAGTTCCTCACATTAGCTCCCTAGCACAGCACAGCCTTAAAGATGGCATCATCAGTCACCAGATAAAGTATATTGCTAGCATATAGTACATTTTGGGGGGAATCTATTAACGTGTCTTTAGAATAAACCAATGAGAGCATGGTTTACAACACCGTGTGCTCAGTTTGGCAAGATGTTCCTCTTTCCTACCACATGACCCCTCCATAGTTACAGGTTACTGACACGTCTTTTTCTAATAACTGGCTTCACCTCAAAAATAGATAATCCTAAAACACAGCTTTTCAGCTGACTTGTAACCAGTCAGATTTGCTTTAAAAGTCGAGTCTCACATAAACTTTATGCAACACAAAACCAACATGTCAGTGTTTCGTAATCCTCACTGCATGCCTTTGAGCACACTAATCACGGTTTGTTTTTCAAATATAACTTCACTGCAGATAATTGTGAAGCACTTCTCCAAACAGCCCAGAATGTGTGACCAACAGTGCAGCCTCAGCCATATGGACTATCATCATTAGGACTGTGCATGTTCTTTTTCCAGCCTCCAGTATTATGGAATGTCTCCACTGTTTTCAAAGTGTCACATAGCTGCATGAAGACCTATCAAACCTTGGCTGGTGAGAAGCCCGCTAGCCTCTATGGACTCCTTTGTAGGGGGGTAAAACGCTCGCAATTTGCAAGTGAGATGAGTTGTCAAGCTTTGGAGACATGCAGGTGGCTCAATTTGTCTCCCTGTTTTGATATTGCTGAAACTCAGAGGATTGGCAAAGCACTGGTAAAAAGCTACAAGTCTTGGGTTCAGGAGTTGCTGCAATTAATTATGTCGCCCAAGTTTTGACACCCATAACATTATGCTGTCACTCCCTCGGAGAGATGACGCTGATGTCTTTTTCCCATGAATGTAATTGCCGGATGTCTTTTACTCTCCACAGCAACCCCAGGAAAAAAAAATGGGCTGACATGTTTGATAAAACTTTGATCTGGCTCACATAAAACACTAGCTAATGCATTGTGGAAACATCAAAACCAAGGCGCTTGACTTCTCTTAACTGTGTGATGCGTTCACTTAACACTTGTTACGTCTGATGAAAGACAAACAAGTGAGATATTAACGTAATACTCCGTGACATTTTTATATAAATAAATGTCGGTTTAAACCATGAATCAGAGTGGAGCCTTGGTACGGCTTGAGTCTAAAGGTGCACAGGAAGTGAGATGTTGTCAGGTTTTAGTGTAGATTTAGAGTATCAAAGTCAGTTAATGAAAGCAAAAAAGATTTAAAAAAAATGGAAAATTGTCCAACTGTTTGTTGGTGAAAATATTAATTTGACTGGAGGAATTAGCTTTTGCCCATATTTGGTAATTGTTGCATTAAGAAAATAATCATTATTATTAACTGTCACACTAGTTTGCAGGAAACCATAAGTTTAATGCCAACTTTAAAGATCTACCTAAGAATGGAGGAAAGCTGCTGCCGTATAGTGTTTCAGTTTCAATGCCTTTGAATAACAAAGTATTTGACGTTTAAGTTAGACTTGAATAACTCTGTGCAACAGCTTTCTGTAGGCCTTAGCAACCCGATGATGATGTTGCTCAGATTGCAAAGAAGTTTAAATAAAATTATCGTGGTCGTTTCACTTACACTGTGTTTAGATTTTGACTGTTGTTGAATTTTGAAGCTGTTTCCATTATTTCTGTAGCTGAGAACAATGATAAGGTTTCTCCAGGACCAAGATTCCCTTGATGACATCTGGCCAGGTTCTTCTTCAGAGCGTTTGTTAACACTCCTAAATACAGCAGCATTCCCAAAGTCACGCGAACCAAAGAGCAAGTAAGAAAAAATCCTCTACTCAGGGCAAATGGAAAACAACTATACTGTAATATACAACGTGTCGTCAGTCCATCAATGTTTTGCTTTAAGACTATTTTAACAGCATCCCGCATTTGAAGCGATTGTATTCAGCATGATTAGCATGGCATGGAGGTGTTTTGAGACGACAGCAGTAGTAGAGAAGTTAGGCTAGGTGGTGGTTCGTCTGGGGGTATGAAGTTGGAACATGCAGTTCCCTCTCTTCGAGCGGTGAACCAGAACCAAGTGGAGTGAGGCTGGCAGGCCACAAGAGCACCATTGTTCTTCACATTAATCAAACTGAGGAAGGGCAGGTAGCATTTCCCCAGCCCACCCTACATGTACACCCTGCCAACCTCCATGAATGGACTGCTTTTTTAGCTGGCAGCGATTGGCCATCGGAGCTCCGAGAGGATGTGTGTCTGTTTAATTAGTGTGATGAGCTCAGCGGAGTTTATGTGCAGTGTCGGACACCAGGTATTAACCCCTCGAGTTTGACCCTGTGAGGGGGGCGGCCGACCTCACTCTTGACATCTTTCTTTCCACTGTTCTCGCTTTCCTTCTCTTCATTAGAAAAAGGCAGATTAGACAGGGGAAAGGCAATGTAGAAGAGGGGGAGACTGGCCCCAACCTCAGCCTCCATTTTTTTTTGGTGTTCTTTTTTAGCAGCCCCTATTTGTGGACTCGCACTCAGAGGAGGAAATAAATTACCGCTATGATATTTCTAGTGTCATTAGGGTACTGAGATGTGCTTATCGCTTTTGTGGTATATATGGTGTATATTACGCTTGATGATTTATGTCAAGAATTGAGGTGCAATAGAAACTGTCACAAGTGTGATTTAAACAATCTCAGATTTATGAAAGCAAACCTCTAAGACAAAGATGTTATCTAGATAGTGAAAGACATATTTAAAACCATAATTAGAGCTGTGGTCTTCTTCTCTCTGTACCATAAACAGCTATATAAAAAGACACGTAGATCATTCACTGGCGGCTGCCTTACATACTAGATGAGAGAGTGCAATGTGTTAACATCACCCAGGGGCACTGTTTTCTAATTCATTTAACCACACCAGTGTTTTCCTAAAAGCTTCAGCTGGCAATTAAAAACCATGAAAAGATACGAAAACATTCTTACCATGCCAGATGCGCTCCACAAAGGTAAAACAACCACTTCAGGCACAATCAAAGCTTAGGATATCACCCTTTATCGGATTATGCACTTTATTAGTTCAGTGGAACAAACACGAGCACTTGAG